GGCGCTCAAACACAAGCCCACATGTGACCCTGTGAGCACGGGCGCCTGCTCGGGGCCTCGGTCCAATACCAGGCTCCCTGGCTGAGGGCTGGGCCACAGCAGGACAGGGAAGGACCCCACACGGTGAGCAGTGGGGCCGGCACCGTCCAGGCTGGTGGGGGACAGAGGGAGGCTGGTTTGCTCGCTCCTTCCCTCAGGCGGAATGCTGGCCAGCCTCCCTCCTGCCGGCGTATCCAAATGCTGCCACCCTCTAAGGGCCACCTCCCGGCCCTGCCCCTCAGTCCCCCGTCACCTGCTGCCCCACATCCCACATCTGGCAGCTTCGGCCCCGCGTCCCTGGGCAGACCGCGAGCTCACCGCACAGCAGTGCTCACCAAGCACACCGTCAGCGCCACGCAAGGGCTGCACCGAGGTAGGCGGAACCAGGGCACCCGAGGGCACGCAGCTGGCACAGGCCCTTACGCCCCGCCCCGCCACTGCGCCTCGTCCTTGTATTCCCACGGCCACGGCTGCACGCCAGAGCACAAACGCACCAGCAGGGGACGCTCGCTCCCCTCCCTAGGGCGGCTGGGATCCCCATCCCACTTGGGAAGGGGATGTCAAAGAGCCACCAGGTGGTGGCAAAGGGCAGGACCAGACCGCCCAGGGTGGGCCGAGGGTTATGAGGCCTCCAGAAAGTCTTCCCTCCTGAAGGCCTACCAGGGAGGTGCCACACGGTTCCAGAGATGGAGGGCGCCCAGGGCCAGGCAGGCGGGCACACGAGGTCAGAAGGCAAACCCAAAGTTCTCCGAGACAAACCAGGAACCATGCAGCGGCTCCCCGTTTCTCCGGCATCCACCCCCAGGGGCCCTAGAGCTGCCCCTTGGGGGCAGCCGATGGCCTGGGGCTGGCTCCAAGGTGGGCCCAGCCAGGCACTTTGGCTGGGCGGGAGCCTTAGACAAGACTCAAAGGACATCAGAATCCTGGCACTGCCCGACTTCCTGCCACCATGAGCTCCCCGGACGCTGTGCAGCCCACCCTCCCCAGCCTGGAGCCAGTGCCCCGGCCTGGTCACGGGGACAGAGGCCCAGGACTCACTTCCACGGCAGATGAGCAGGAGCCAAGTTCTGACCAGGCCCTTCCAGGACTGTTTTCCCCACACCTAATGTCTACCCTGGTGGCCTCTAGTGTAGCCACCCTGGGCGGGGTGGCCAGGCTGGCAGGTGTGGTTGGCAGCTGGAGGTACAGGGTCCCCGAGGGGACAGCAGCTCAGTGCAAGAGCTTGGTTGGCAGCAGAGGGACCATCACGTCACAAGCTTCGGTGTCCAGAGGGTCCCGGCTGAGTCCTTGGGGCTCATCCCTGAGCAGCACTTGCGGCTGGCCTCCCACACGCCCCGCTCCCCCAGTCCCTCCCGAGGCTCACGCAGCCAGGCCAGGCCCTCCCACACTGCACAACATCGCGGGTTTATTCAGGGCTGGCGCCGCAGCTCCCAGCACGGTGTGCTCCTCGTGGCTTCTGGGCACTTTGGGGCTGCCCGGCAGGGCCCTTCCCTGGACTCCTGCACGTCTCTTCCCCCTCCCTGTGCCCCGGCGCTCGCTCCTTCACCAGCCGGTAGATGTGGTGCTGAGCCCCGTGGTCACTGGCTGACACCTCGAAGACGTACGCGATGCACAGCAAGGTCTCCTGCGTGTCCCTGTTGGTGACCACCTGCAGGGAGGAAGCGGCCGGGGTGAGCGCCCACGGAGGCAGGAGTGTGCCCAGCCCCGCCCGTCCGCCCGCGCACCTGCAGGACGGTGAAGTTCTCCAGCACGCTGTTCATCATGTACTTCTCGGGCAGGTGCTTCAGCTTGTGGATGAAGTTGATCATGTACTCGCTGAGCGGCGACCGGTGGATGCGGTAGGAGTAGTGGC